ATACTTCTGGAAGAAGGAATATTACATAGCAAATGTCCGAGGCAGGAAAAACTGTAATGCATTGGTACAATTAAATATGGCTGAAGCACCAACAGCCAGGAGCTAAATATCTTTTTAAGCTACATTTTTCCTAACTTGGGTGGTTTTCTGAATCTTCCAAACAAGGGATTTGGGAGTTCCTACTTCAATCACTGAAACTTCATGGCTTAGATAAGTTATTGTAATGAAAACATGGATGGCACTAAATTAAACAAAACGCAGACTCAAATTACAGTCGTGTTGCTTAGCTATGGGGGTAAATTCTGAGAAATACATCATTAAGTGGTTTCATCATTGTGTGAACATCAAAGAGTACTTATTACACAAACCTAGATGGTTTAGCCTAGTGCACACCTAAGCTATATGGAATAGCCTGTTGCTCGTAGGGTACAAACCTGTACAACCTGTTATTGTACTGAAAATTGTAGGCAATTATAACACAATTGTAAGTATTTGTGTACCCAAACATATCTAAACATAGAAAAGGTACAGTAAAAATAAGTTTTTATAATCTTATGGGATCACTGTCATGTAAGCAGTCTGTCATTGACTGAAATATCATTATGCGGCTCCTGACTATGTACATATCACCTAAATTATATAGATCATCCTCTTGAGTAGCCATTTTTCTCTAATTGCTTCTCCCCTTCCATGAAATTTTAATACTACAGATATACTGTATATTTGCTTATGTATTGCACATATTATGGGCTTTGCACATAAAAAGAGTAAGATTTTTTTTTCCCTGCCTCAAGAATCACTTTTCATCTTCTTGGGGGCAATACTGCCCTCTTCCAGAGTTCATGCAGTGTACCCTTCACTCAGCCTCCTTTAATTTAGTATGTTTCATAGCTGTGTAGTGCAAATAAGTCTTCTTAATTTTCTCTAATCTGTGACAGATAGTTCCTCAGTCTTTCCTTGTCTTTCATGACCATGATACTTGTGAAGAATACTGCTCAGTACTGGATTTTTTCCTGGTATCTTCTCATGATTAGGTTGAGGTCATGTATTATTGAAAAGAATTACACAGAGATGATGTGCCCTGCTCATATCAAAGAGTAAATGATGATGATCTGTCTTATTACTGCTGATGTTAACTTTAATCATTTGGTTCAGGTGGTATATTTCAGATTTCTCCACTATAAACTTACCACTTTTTCTTCATAATTAATAAATATTTCTTTGGGGGAATATTTTGAGACTATGCAATTATCCTGTTTCTCCTTAAACTTTCACCTATGAATTTTGACATCCATTAGCGAATGTTGCTTGCAAAAATTATCATTGTATTGTTCCAATAGTGATTTTCTGTTTCCCTCATTGCTTCTACATTTATTAATTGGAATTATTTTTTAAGGAAGAGTATCTCTTTTACCCCCAATTTATTTATTCATTCAGTTATTTATATCAGTAGAGACCAAATGATACCTATTTTGTTCCTTGGTTTATAATCCAGTACTATTCCTATTTATTAATATTTTCTTGCTCAAATGGCTTTGGACATTGGGAGCTGTTTCACATTGGCTCCTGTGCCCCTTGACACATCCTCATCCTCTCTGAGCACTTTGTGACATTATAATTTGCTCCAGGATCAACTTGTATTTTTTCTGTCTCTGCCTCAAATCAACCACTTCTTCAATGATCCATGGTTTCTTTTATTGGATACCTTACTAATCTGGCCTAGTATTCAGATGGTAGTTAGAAACCAAAATGTGGGTGTTAGGTGCATTATTTGCTACTCAGTGATACTTCTTCTAAGCCCTCTCAGTGGACAGAGCTAGGAAATATATTTGTGTATACTAACTCACATACTCACACATCTGTATTTATTTCTGCATATGTGACTCCAATTCAGTACCAAAAGGTTCATTTTAGCCTTCCTCCTTTCCTCATTTGTAACTTCATTCCTTGGTAACAAGAAATATGATTCTCTTTACCTATAATATATTTATTTATTTGCTCAATCCTACTATTATAGGATTATCCACACTATTTTTCAAAGTTACTTCAGTCATCTCCTTTTTACCCCTTCCCGTCAGTGTGGTTATGTGATTTGTTTATTATGGTCAGATTCATTCATCACAGTCTACATTCCATCTTGGATTCCCTTTTCTTCCCAACATCTTGGTTGATTTCTTAAAAAAATTTCTTGTTCTTCATTGAAAAGCCACATCTTGTCATACGTTGTTCATCTTTTCTCTGTTTTCTTTAGCATATCAATAATGATAATCTCTGGGTCTGCTTCAGTCGATCATTTTTGCTCTTGAATTTCAGTATGCTTTTCCTGTGCCATCAGTATCTGTTATTGTATGCTGGACATTGTGGATAATAGATTGTAGAGATTCTGGGTTGTGTTAAATTACTGGAGAATCACTTTGATCCTGTCAAGTTTTGGTTTCAGGCCTTGTTAGGGCAGACCTACTTGATCTTTGCCCTTACGCCTACGCATGATCCCTGCCCTAGGGTGAGATCTCTCTGGGGTCTCACCTGAAAGCTTGGGGTTCTCATTAAGGTCTTACAATCTTTTCCAAGTAATGTGTGGACTCTGATATTTCTGCTTGGTTATCAGCCACTTAGCAGACGTTATTTCTTGGGCTTGCCACAGTCTTACCTTGCAATTGCACAACTTTGGATTTCGCCAAATATCCGAGAGAAATTATGTACACTCATGTGCCACGTAATAGTTTGGTCAACGATCAGCAATGGTCCCATAAGATTATACTGGATAATGATAATAAACGACTATGTTATTGGTTTGTGTATTTACTATATTATATACTTTTTCTTGTTAGAGTGTACTCTTTCTACTTATATGTAAAAAAGCATCAGGCAGGTCCTTCAGGAGATATTTCAGGAGAAAGCATTATTGTTATAGCTGATGACAGCAACGGCTTTGAAGACCTCCTAGTGGGACAAGATGGGGAGGTGGAAGACAGTGATATTGATGATCCTGACCCTGTGTAGGCCTAGGTTAATATGTGAGTTTGTGTCTTAGTTTTAACAAAAAAGCTTAAAAAGTAAAAAATAAATTAAAAAAAATTTAAAAAGTAGGAGAAAGCTTGTAGGATAAGGATGTAAAGAAAGGAAATATGTTTTGTATAGCTGTATAATGCATTTGTGTTTTAAGTAAGGTATTATTACGAAAGCATCAAAAAGTTAAAAAAATTAAAAGTTTATAAAGCAAAAAATTACAGTAAGCTAAGTTTAATTTCTTATTGATGAAATAAAAACACAGTTTTTATAAGTTTAGTGTAACTTAAGTGTTTATAAAGTCTACAGCAGTGTACAGTATTGTCCTGGGACTAGGCCTTCACATTCACTCACCACTCACTTGCTAATTCAACTTCCAGTCCTACAAGCTCCCTCCATTTGTAAGTGACCTCTACAGGTGTACCATTTTAAATTTTGAATACCTTATTTTTACTGTATTCTATATTTATAGAATATAAACATAGAATATGTTTATATATGTTTAGATGTACAAATACTTAGATATGTTTAGATATACAAATACTTACCATCACGTTACAATTGTCTACAATATTCAGTCCAATAACATGCTGTACAGGCTTGCAGCCAAGCTACAATAGACTATACCATATAGCCTAGGTATAACCTATAGGTAGGTTATACCTTCTAAGTTTGTGTAAGTGCACTCCATGATGTTTGCGCAATGACAAAATTGCTTAATGACACGTTTCTCAGAATGTACCCCTGCTACTAAGCAGTCATGCATGATTATAGCTTCCCATTGGTTTCTTACTGTCTGTTTCTCTCTGCTCTGCCCTTCGAGATTCCTGCGGTCTTAGTACCCTCCCCACCTCTTGCCTCTGTTTCTTCCTTTCTCTACGTTGACTCTTTTCTTCTACAGCAGTTTGAAAAAATATCTTAAGAGAGAAAACCAGGATGAATGTGGGCTCTGAATCCTTTGTTTCCATTTTCTCAGGGAATCCTTTGTTTCCTTTTTCTTAGCCCTGCAATGATTGCCATTCAATGCCTGGACATAATTCTTTTGTATATTTTCTTCAGTTTTATTGTTTTCAGTGGGAGTGTAAGTTCGACACTTGCTACTATATCATAGGATTTCAAGTATTCTGTCAAGCAGGTGGGAACAGAGAAACATGCTAGTGATCTTTGTCCAATTTAACTGAGAACTCTTATGAAGATTTATATAGTTATTATACAGAGTTTTCAAAAACATCATTACTACTAGAATAGAAATTATCAACTAAGACAACCAATCAGAATTACAAGTTTCTTTTGGTGGGTAATTTTGTGTCTGGAATCCATAATCTTATAAGATCTTTTTATTCAAACAACACTTCCAAAATCTAATCTATGTTAAGAAAGAAAGGTCTAAAGGCTGACGAAGAGTTGACGAAAGGCTGACATAAACCTCAATATTGCATACGAAAACAAGCCTGATACCCTTTGGAAATTCTCAATGTAATGCCTTATCCAATTGGACTTTCATCTGATTTGTAATGCAAAAAACGCATCCTTTTTTTTTTTTTTTTTTTTTTACTGCTATAGGGGAGAAGGACATAACTTTAACTCCTTTCTTGGGATGATTTATTTGGTCGTGAAGAGTTGCAGTTTTAGAACCAGACTCTGAAATTTTGTTCACTGGTGTTACAAGCAAAAATCAGGCATGTAGAACTCAAATTTACTGGACGAAATGGAAAAGAGGACTACAGATTTGTAATTTAACGACAGTGAATTAACTGGATGTATAGCATTTTCCCTCTGTAATATTAAGATGATTTTAAAGAGTTTGCATGTGGTTTTGTGACTAAATCCTCCTCCTCATTCCTCAATGGGCAAACAGCATGTAGATTAAACATCATGATCCCTTCTGGGATTGTGAGGGTGAAGCTCCATGTATAACATTTGCATTAACTGTAACCTAAGTAACCGAGATGCTAAATTAACCAGAACATATTTTACTGCTTCGCTTTTAGGAAAAAAAGAAGCAAATGATACCAAGACAAGCTCATAAAGGAGATCTACTCATCAGATGTGTATGGACGAAAATACAGGTACAAACGAATCTCTTATAGCCTTTTGGGTCTGTATCTAAATCATTGCATAATGATTATTAGTATTCAGAATGTCACAGTAGAACGTAGAATCAGCAAAAGACTGAGCAATCAAATCTTTCAATAAGAGTTAAACAGTTTCTTTTTAGCATGTTCAGGTGTCTCACAGTATTCTAGGTTCGGGGAGTAGGAATATGAAAAAAAATATTTTTCTCTGCCAGTGAAACATTTCCAGAGAATTACCCACTGTGCTCATGCATCTATTGTCATGCTATGGCCCCTGTCAATACTTGAATCTACTCCATCAATCAAATGGTGCAAACATCTAGCATCTCATTCGCAACATTTCTTTCTTTCAATTTGCCCTAAGTATCTTACTACAGCTATTCTTTCATTAGGTGCTCCAAGTTGACTTTCGTTCCCACCTTCTCATCCATTCATGAATCCATTCACCTGTCCATTCATCAATCACCCTTTTCTACCTTCTATTTTCTTCATATTACTGATAGATTCTAAGATCCATCACTTTAATTATTCTCTTGCAAATTGTCTGGCACATCCCAACCTTGGATGAACCTATTTTCTCCATGTCTACACCCAGGCTGCTGAGAACAACTGGAGAAAAACGCAATGGAGTAGATTCATCCTACTACAAATTAATGGTCAGTGACCTCAACTAGACCTTCAAAACTGCCTGGTAACCTGGTCTCCAAATTTCTGCAAAATCTCTCTTAAACCCGTTCTATTCTTCTCAAATCTCCAACTCTGTCATTTTCAGCTGGTAACCTTGCCTCCCATTTCACTAGGAAAATGGAAGCTGTTAGATGAGAAATTCACACAGCCAACTGTCATCCCTCTTCTAACAAAGGCCAACCATTTCACGTGTGCTCTGCAGTCTGTCTCCTCAGGTTTCCCTCGGTAATGTTATTTCCTCTCTTTCTGATTTTATTTCAGCTTCTTTCTCTCTACTAGACCTTCCCAATCAGCACTTATGCATGCCCTTGTTTGTCTTATTATCACAGACAGATCAACAACCAAGTAATCATCTACCTCCCGCCCACACAATAGCCTCTGCAAGCCACATACTTCTTTACCTACCACCTTTCTCCTCCTTCTAGTCTCAAATTTTGGGGCTGAGTTTCCTATATAGTTTATCTCTCCAAATCTTTAGCTACTATTCCTGCCACAAATCCTTGAATCTAACTTCCGTTTCAACCACTCCATGGGAACAACTCTTGCTAAAGTCACCAATTATTTCTATTTCACGTAATCAAATTACTCTTATAGTCCTCATGTCATGCCACCTCTCAGAATCATTCTACAAAGTTGACCACTTTTGACATACTCCTTGACTTTGGTTCCCATGACATCACCTGCTCCTAGTTTCTCTCCTACCTCTCAAACTCTCTTCTCTATCCTTTGCCAGTTACTCCCTTAAGCTGTGAATATGAGACTTTTCCAATGCCCAAAGTCTCTTCTCATTCTGCCACTGAGGAAACCCCACCCATCCTCATGGCTGTAATTCCATCTATACTCCAACAACTTTCAAATTCTATCTCTAGCCAGGCTTCTCTGAACTCCACCCAGATACCTTACCTCACCTGGAATGCATCTAAAACTGAACTCATGTGTTTGTCTTTTCCCCTAAACCTTCTTTTTCTCCAGTAGATACTGCCACCACCCACCTAGTTGCTCAAATGATACACCTTGGATTCACCCTTGACTCCTCCTGTTTACCACTCCTTATGTGCAATCAATCACCAAATCTTATTGATTCTATTCTTGGAAAAGTTTGTCACCACTATCATTAATCACATGGCCTCCTGCAATAGCCTTCTAATAGATCTCCTTGCTTTCATGGGCTTCGTCCATCCATTTTCCCCAAAGCTATAGAAGTGAGCTTACAAAAATGCACATATGATTATGACACATTCCTACTTAATATCCTTCAGTGGCTTCCGCTTGCCTTTTAGTATTGTGTGATCTACTATGCACGTCAGTCTTAGTAGATCTAAGTAACTCAGTCTCTGATTTCCTCTCCAGCCCATCCTGATCGGCTTTCCTTCTTGCATGTAATGTTGGAGCTATGCTTGTCTTGTCCTGGGTCCTCAAAGGCACCCCCCACCACACACTCAGAGCCCTGGGTCTCGAACACTCTAGGCCTACTGCTCTCTCTGCTGCTGTGACATTGACTCACTCTTCAGCTCCTTTCCTCCAAGAAGCCTTCCCTGACCTTTCATCCTGGTTAAGGTCCTCATTCTATAAGAACTCATTGCCAGCCGGGCGCGGTGGCTCACGCCTGTAATCCTAGCACTCTGGGAGGCTGAGGTGGGCAGATTCCTCGAGGTCAGGAGTTCGAAACCAGCCTGAGCAAGAGCGAGACTCCATCTCTACTATAAATAGAAAAGAATTAATTGGCCAACTAATATATATTTATAATTAGCTGGGCATGGTGGCACATGCCTGTAGTCCCAGTTACTCGGGAGGCTGAGGCAGTAGGATCGCTTGAGCCCAGGAGTTTGAGGTTGCTGTGAGCTAGGCTGATGCCATGGTACTCACTCTAGCCTGAGCAACAATGGAGACTCTGTCTCAAAAAAAAGAAAAAAATCATTGCCCACTGGACTTTTCCTTCAAGGCACCAATTATAATTCTAATTAAACAATTACTTCTGAAGATGGTACTTATTCAATGTCTGTCCTCTTTGCTAGAATGTGCACTCCCTGAGGTCAGAGTCTTTGCTCACTGTCATGTTGTCAAGAACTAACATTGTGTTTGGTTCACCATATGTGCTCAGCAACTGCTGTTTTGAATGGATGAACAATTTCAATACAATATGGTAAATGTAAAGATGGAGGCATATAGATTGCAAAATGAAACAAAGATAAGTGACATTTCATCCAACTGAGGAAGTATACCAATGTAACTGCTATTGGGTGACTCGGATGATGGTCTTCAATACAAAAATTGGAAAAAGGGGTGGTCAAGTATCCGGTGCTTACTTCAGCAGTGTCTCCAGTCTGGTTTCTTTGTCTCTCCAAGACTGGCACCCTTGGAAAACCCAAGGCAGCTTAGTAGTTAACACCATCCGCTAGTTGTAGGTGGAGCAATAGAAATCTGCCCATCAGGCAATCTGAGTTCTCTTCTTGTATGCCCTGCTATGACTACAGGCCAAATTAGCATTTATTTTTCTATAAAACCATGCAGTCTGGAAGATTGGCTGCCTTCCCCAACATTCAGGAAAGAATTATGAGAGAGGGGATTTGTTTAATCTACATATGTGTACATTCAAAATCCCATCATTTTCATAGGGTGAAACATATAATCCTTATTTCTTACAACACAAACACTGGATTAACAAAGGCAAATCATTATAAAACCTGGCATATCTTGAAATAATGCTTTCTATGGAGAAACTGTTTTATGCTAAAACTTTAATTCTTAAAGTAGCCCTACTGGGAATTGGACAAAACCAGTCTGAGTCCTACATAACATCCCAGGGGACAGAAGCACCTGTTTTTTTTTTTAAGACACTTTCAATCCAATCAGAGTCAACATTCATTCGTAGAATGGATTGTGCAGCAGAACCCCGAGGATTCAGCCAGAAACCCTGCCCTCTAGGAGCTTATGCTGAGATCATAGGTATATAGCTACATTATTAATAACATGGTACACCAGTAGAAGATGTGTAAGTTATAAAGATAACCCAGAGGAAAGACAATTCCTTAGACAAGCTAAGACCTAAGCTGAGTTGTTAAGGATGAATAGGTTTTCCCCAGTCAAACATGATGGGCAAAAGGCATTCCAGGCAAAGGGAACAGCATGCTCAAAGATGCATCCTTTGATCCCAGGATACTGCTTCTGTCCTATGCCAGTGAGGACTGGTGTGGGAGGTGAGGGGAAGGTGGACAGGGACCAATCACAAAGGCTGTTATGTGCCATATTAATAAAGAAACAAGAACTTGGTTCTGTAACTGATGAGACACTTGCAGTTTATGAATAAGGGCAGATATGACAAATTTTGCTCTATCCCCATGGCCACGTAGAGGACAGACTAGAGAAACATGAGTCTAGAGTCAGGGCTAGCCCATGGATAAGTAGGGAGATCAGTTGCACTCTCTTGACCCCATAGCCTGTAGAAAATTGTGGAATTATTCATTCACATACAATTCCGGTGTCACTTTGTTCATAAAGCACATATTGTATCTCAGGTATAGGAAAATGAAGGATATTGTTTAAAGAACATTCAGAAAACTACTGTACTTCTTGTATGTTTATCTGGCCCTGCCAGAATAAGCAAGGTTTTTACTCCTGAAATATTTTCTAAATTTATTGTGTGTGCTAAGGTCACCAACCTTAGGTTACACTTGTTCCCTTCCCTAGAATACCCAGAGCCAGGTAGAGTTTGTTCATGAGGAAGGGCTCTTGCACAGCTTCATGAGACAGTCTGTCTGTGGGCAGTGTGGTTCTTGGACCACTTCAGTTTGTCCTTGTTGCCTAAAACAAAGCAAAGCAATGAGGGCATTTAACATGGCTTTGTTTTGTGTCCCCATATGGACTATTAACTCCAAGGTAAGTAATTAGGGCTCTTTTACTTTATTATGCTTTTCATGGTCTTGGCACTGCTCTCTGTGGAAAAACCTACTGATTCCAAATAAATATGTGTATGGAATTTTCCATTACCTGGCATTGGTTTGTCACCAACAATCTACTGTTTAACATTCATTGCATGAATTTGTAAATATAATTGTTGCCAAGGAGACAAGTGGATAAACAAGAACGAATGGATAACAATATCCATAGAGATAGCATGCAGTAAGTAGTCAAAACCTATGTTCACGTCCTACGTTTCTGTGTTTTTGCTGCTGTGGACTGATTAACATGGAAGCTGTTGTCTTTTACTGTGTAAATCTACACTCAAGACAGCATTAGCCTCTGGCCTGAGAGAGGATACAGTAGGGTTTTAGAGACTACTGAGGGTCTCTAAGGGAGCTGGTAAATGT